ACACACACACACAAAAAAAAAAAAAAAAAAAAAAAAAAGGGAACGAGGAGTTTTCACTTTCCTCGGTACAGAATACGTTTCTCAGCTTTTTGCCAACAATGAAGCTCAGTACCTTTACTGATCAGCATGTTATACCTGATACGTGGTCCCCTAAGCTGTAAACCGCAAAAAAAAAAAAAAAAAAACACAAAAAAGGAAAAAAAAAAAAAAAAAACCCTCCATACGCATCTACTGATGCAAGGAAAATGAGCAATAGCGAGATGACAATATCCAAAATGCAGAATCACATTGAAAGTCAGAAAGTATCACAGTGTCCAGAAAGCAGCATTGCACCAATATAACACCAATGGAGAATCGTAACACTGAAAACCAATGTCAATGAGAGCTTGCTCTCGCCACCACCAACATAAGAGTCCAGGCCCTTCTCCCTACTTGGCGCTCGGCGCCCAGCCTACTCCCTACACAGCTACTGTCTTCCTACTAATTGACAATGCAACTGTTGATGTCAGCAGCCGACAAAGTACTTGAAGATGCCGCCCAGATGCAGACCATCGCCAATACCAGGTATGTGCCCTCACATCATCATCATCATCATCATCCTTCTCTCTCCCTCGTCTTACACCCACGTCTTCCCTCTGTACACCCGAAGACCACCYCTGCGCYTCACTGTAGTCCAAGCCTCAGCCAGCTATGGAGGCCCGGCTATGGTGCTGCCCTCAGCAGCGCCCTGTTCTTGCACGACCGCACGCGCGCAGCACCTTGCCCTTAGCGCACAGCAGCACGCGAGCCTTTGCTCCAGCAGCGCTGCCGCACAGACTGGCAAGTGCCTGAATATGCCTCCAGGCAGCGGGCTCTTTCCTATATGGAAAGAGTCTGCCTGCCCCGGTGGCCTGGCTGGGCTGGGCCTGTGCCCAGAAGCTTCCGGTAGGGCCCAGGAGGCTGTGCCTCGGTTGCAGCCGCTGGGCCTCGTTCGGTTGGGCCTCCCAACTGTCTGTGTATGATGCTGCGATTCTGGCCCAGGGCCTGCATTTCCGAAAAGGGCCTGGAAGGCCGTGGAAGATCTCTGCTGCTCAGGCCTGTGTTTCCTTCAACCAACTGGCGCGTCACAACTGCCTGGACCCCAAATGCGAAATTGACACCAATGGGCCTCTCGAGATTTGTTAGGCCCGCCTTCACTTAGGGCGGGCACATCTGTATCAGGGCCCCTTAGGCCTGTCGAGGACCCAGCTCCTTGCATTCCCTCCTCCTTCACTTCTACAGTCCTCTGAGAAGTCTTCTAATCTGCAGGCATCTTTCCCTTGAGTTCTCTTTCATAGCCTGCAATCACTTGAGGTGCTGTTCGCTGGAGAGTTCTTCTCTAGTGAACCACCGATCTTCGGTGGGATCAAGATGGTGTCTGAATCTGACACGATATTGCATCCTCGGCTTGGGAGGACGGCCTTTGCCCGACTGTTTAGGCATTGGCATCATTCGATGCTCCACGATTTCGTCGATGTTGACTTCACCATCCATGGTTGGGGCCAGCATTGACCGTCTGGAGGGGAACTGTGCAGTTTCTGCAAAAGGTGCCAGCTTTGAGGCGTGAAAAACTGGGTGTGTGCGTAAGTGAGGTGGGATGCGAATCACATATGAAGGGCTGTCTATCTGATCCCCGACTATGTCTGAGACCTCCCAAGGACCGAAATACTGTGGCATCAATTTGCGAGATATGCCCAGTTCTTGACCCAGTTCAAATGATTTGACCCAGACTCTATCACCTACCTGAACGTTAGAGGGTCGTCTATGCTTATTCTCAAATTCGATCATAGCATCCTGAGATTTTCTAATATGCTCGACGGCCTGCTACAGCATCTGCTCGTACTTGACAGCAAACTCTATACTGCCAGGTGCTGCAGTGGTGTGGCGGACCCACCAGGTGTGGTGCTCCGCCTGGGATAGAGATGGAGATGGAGGATGAAGGGGGAGCGAGATGGCACAGTGCAGCTCCCACGCTAGACTCCAACGCACGTACTCCAAGATGTGTGAATGTAGAATGATCTCACAAACAGACAACAGCTGGGGTATACCCCAGCGGACTGGACTGGCTGGTACCAACAAAGGTACCGGCCTGGACTGGACTACCCCGAATACAACACAGGCCTGTGAGAACAGGCCAAGGGGCTGGTCTCACTGGCCAACCAGAGGTCCGTTACACAATCCTCGGTCTGTGATAGATAGCCTAGATACAAGCACGCTTCCGCCAAGAAGCGGAACTCTACCAAAGAAAAAGAAAACCCGAGTAGGATCTGGCTGATCAGGAGGCATTTAAGGAGATCCCCCGTAACTCCTCAGGAATTATTTAACGTCGCAGACAGGACGATGATCACAACCAGCATCAACACCGAGTCCCGACCAGAAAAAAATAAAGACGGTCTGGTAAGCGTCTATTCAAAGGGCTGGCATGCCCTGCATGACCTCTATTGGGCAGCAGCAGAACCAAGGACTTGCGGCAAAGCATGCGTGTACTAGTCCCAGCGGGTTGGCATGGTGACTGTGACCCGAGTGCTTCGTCCAGGGCCCTTCAGAGGCTACGCCCGTCTCCCACCAGCTTGCTGCCCAAGAAGAATGTCGACTCTCAACGTTGAGCGCTTGCGACACCTCACATTGAGAGGACTCTCAAGACAAGACTCACTTCCTCACGGTAAGAAGTAACGAAGAGGGTAGATAAGGAAGAGAGCAACGTACCTCATAATGCTGCCCCCAACCACAGATTTCTCACCGGCAACCTGATGTGCATTTATGATGATTGGTCTTCGCCTCGGCACAACCACCAGCAGAATGCAGTTCCACATCGGCTTAAATGCCACATCAGCGAGCTCTCATCATCCAGCGTACACCCCTAATGTTACCATATAGCTTCCTGGCGCGCCCACAAGACCCTAGGCTGCCTCACGTTCAACGCCCAAGCCTTATCACTGCCCCACACCTCATGCAAAGCACCGAACAGCTATTGCGAAGAACCAATGAGCGCAGTTTGAACCAGCTCCGATACCAAATTGCAAGAAAAATGAGCAAAAGCAAGATGACAATAAACCAAATGCACAATCACATTGAAGACCAGAGTGTATCACAGTGTCCAGAGAGTAGCATTGCACCAATATAACATCAATGAAGAATCGTAACACTGAAAACCAATGTCAATGAGAGCTATCTCTCGCCACCACCAACATGAGTATCCAGGCCCTATCTTCCTACTTGGCGCTCGGCGCCCAGCCTACGCCCTACACAGCTACTACTAGCCTACTAATTGACAATGCAACTGTTGACATCAGCAGCCAGCGAAGTACTTGGAGATGTCGCCCGTAGCAGACCACCGCGAATACCAGGTATGTGCTCTCACATCATCATCATCATCATCCTTCTCTCTCTCTCCCTCGTCTTACACCCACGTCTTCCCTTTGTGCCACCGAAGACTACCCCTGCGCCTCACTGTACATCCAAGCCCATAGCCAGCTATGGAGGCTGGGCTATGGCGCTGCCCTCAACAGCGCCCTGATTCCACACACGACCGCACATGCGCAGCACCTTGCTCCAGCGCTAGCAGCCAGCACGTAAGCATGAACTCCAGCAGCGCTGCCGCCAGCCAGCAAGTGCCCGAATGTCTGGCCAGGCAGCGAGCTCCTTCCTATATGGAAAGAGCCTGCCTCATTCGGCAGCCTGGCTGGACTGGCCTGGGCCCAAAAGCTTCCGGTAGGCCCCAGGATGCTGCACCTCTCTTGCAGCTACTGTGCCTCATTTGGTTGGGCCTCCTAACTGTCTGTGTATGAGGCTGCCATTCTCGTCCAGGGCCTGCATCATTTTGGAAAGGCCTGGAAGGCCGTCGAAAGTCTCGCTGCTCGGCCTGCGTTTTCCTCAACCAACTGGCGCGACGAAACTGCCTGGACCCCAAATACGAAATTGACAGCCGAGGGCCTCTCGTGATTTGTTAGGCCCACCTTCACTTAGGGCACAGATGCAACAGGGGGCCCTTAGGCCTGCCGACCCAGACCCTCGCAATATTTTTGAATTACAAAAATTTCGAAAAAGACTTAATTAAAGTTATTTTCGAATTTCGAAGAAGAAATGCTGAGAAAGAATGATTAATCATACGTATTTTCAAAAAATTTGAAAAAGAAAATATTTTTGAAAAAGAAATGTTGAGAAAGATAGTTAATTAAGTATTTTCGAATTTACATGAATTTCAAATGAGTTCTAAAATAAATAAAATAAATAAAGGAATAAATTAGTTTTGAATCTTTTGATATAAATCGAGGGCGGAGCAATCCTATCTACGATTGATTGGGTGGTAGCGTG